ACTACTACTACTACTACTACTACTACTACTACTACTACTACTACTACTACTACTACTACTACTACTACTACTACTTGTAGTGTTTATCTCAATAAAGCATTGCTTGAAATCTTGTGCACACTATTCATCAAGTGGTACCCGGGATGAACCACACAAATGTACGGGCGTATCAGTCATATTTGATCATGGGTAATCGAGGGCCTTGAATGGGTGATTTACTAGGCATCAATGAGTCTACCAAAAAAGTTAGTTTGCAATGATTGGGTGTCTACATCGGGGTCGTGGTGTTCATGTTGTGTTCTCAAATTTCACAGCAAAGGTGTAGGCCACTTTTAAAAAATATGCAGCACAGGAGAACGACCTAATCGAGGTGGCGAGGGATAGAAGCAGACACTTTAAACATACCTATATACAGAGAGAATCAACTGTACATAATACCAATAATAATAACAATAATAAATGTCAGGTAGCGTAATCAAAAGGTTCTCCATCGATTTCAGGTTATGAGAGAGATTGCGTTATTTTGTCCTGGTAGTCTCGACTTGGTTCGCCCTATAACTGTGTAAATGTGAGTAATGGAGGATTTGATTCAATCTGATAGAAAGAATTTGTTGAGTATAAAGTAAATGTAACGTGAACTGAAAAGCTCGGAAGTACTACTGGACAGTGTTTTTGATGCTGCAACCAGCTGGTTAGGATGAGTTGTGCTAAATCGTGTAAATGGAAAATGAAAAGCATTCTGAGCAGCCGCCCCTGGGCGGCAGAGTGAGTAGTATGCTTGCGTTCTGCCTGGGCTGAGGTCCCGGGTTCGCGACCCCCAGTTAGGCCAATGGATTTGAGTACTGCAATGACGAGACCCAGCCAGGTCGAAACAGCTATCTAGTGGTGTTTCCCAGCTTTTCAGTTCACCTCTCATTTGCTCTACACACGATGAATACCTTCTATGAAATTGTGTAATTGTTTCAACTGAATATTTTCCGCGAGAAAAAGATTGAAGTTTGGATCAGAAAATAGAAATTGATCTCATATTGTGCAAGTAACATCTTTCGTACTGTGCCACGGGAACTTTCAACTCACCCCTCTCACATGTCGGTCCCGTATGTAGTGTTCCAAAACAGTCACAGATCACTCGATTCCAACCGGGCGCACAACGCGCATTGTTCCGACACATCACAAGCGAGGGTCCCGATCGGGAGAAACCAATGGAATTCGCATCGACACATGTGACCTCACCTTGGGGTCGGTCGGCACACCCGACCTGAATTACTCCGATCCCGTGGTCCCCTGCCGTGGTGTTGTGATTCAGTCCACGTGATTTGTGATGAGCATTCACGTAGGTGACCAAATCGATCGGGATCCCGTTCACGGTCACACTGTTGTAATTGGTTCAGGACAAAATCGGATTGTGAATCCTCATTTAAAACAGTCAGCATACCAAAACAGCTGTAGCTTTGGAAATTTGAGTACAGGGTTAATGAATGGAAACATTTTGAATTACTAAAGTTTCGTAAGAGCCTTATCATCTCGCAAGTGCAGACAACGTTGTTGTTTATGATTGCTGTTGTTTGTTTGTGGTGCCAGTGGTGTTGGTGTTGTTGTTGTTGTTAGTGGTGGTGGTGGTGGTGGTGTGGTGGTGATATGGAATCAGGTCATGTTTATGGATCCAGTCTTTAAATCACACATTCCGAGATCGCAACGTTTTCTTGCTTCATACAACCGAACAATTTATTTCTTTACACAAATTGCAACGTACTATTCTTATACAATAATCGTAAACAAAAGCCCTGGAACTTACATCTGACAATCTCAACCGAAAAGCACGGGGCCAGTTGACAGCTAAATAGCTTATCATTAAGGTTGCGAGCAGTTGTTTGTTGTTGCTGTTGTAGATGATGATGATGTTGATGTTGATGGTGGTGGCGGTGGCGGTGGCGGATGTTGCATAGAACGAGGCAAGGATATGCTTCCATCTCCACAAATTAGGAATGGTTTCCGTTGCGGTGCCGAGAACCAATGAAGGTTTCATTTCAGTCACATATTTAAACAAACCAAATTATACACGCTCATTTGACCGTATTAATGGAGGTGAAGAATTGTCCGTATCAGACCGATAACATAATAGCGACAGTCATATCCCTATTGAATTCATAGACTCGTTTCAGAAAATCAAAACAACTGATCATGACTATCCACAACTTAAGTGACAATCTTAGACCTGATTCAAGTAGTTAGAACCTATAGGAAGAGGCTGGATTTAATTGGCCAGGAAGTATGCCTGTAAAGGATAAGGGTAGAGAGAAGACCAGATATTCATAATCCATTGGATTCCGTTGCATCAACATCCGTCTTATTTTTACCGTCGTGCATAAATCTGCCCCGCTGGCGACATGATTACGGATTTGTCTAAGTTGATGACCTAACTGGTGACGACAGTTAGGTGACATTTCCATGTTCTTTTTAGAGGGCACGGTGTTTCTAATTTTATGAAACAGAATTTAAACTATCACAGATTAGAAAAACAAAACATATTATCGATCTAATTTGAAATATATCGCAGCAGAACAGAGTTAGAAAAACACATGACAAACACTGCAAACAATAAGTGATCAGCAATTTGTTATCATTTTTGGGGATGAAATGTATGAAAAAAGAAATGTAAAAACCTACATGAACAACTTCCTGATCAGTTGGAGTTGGAAAGGCTCAAATCTACCTTGGTGAATGCTTGCTACCAACCGCACAGTGTCCGGATAAATACAAATGAGCTAGTGACTACAGAACACGTTAGACGATTATGAGAACAATGAAGATATTATACTATCCAAACCGGTAAAGGAGACGGGGATCGTCTGAATGCATTACATAGACAACATGAACACCATATTTGGTAATCGGTCGATGGAAAAGGATAAGACGGCTCAAATAGAAGGAGTGTTGTCAAAGGATTTGTGATGCTTAAAACAAAGGGGAGTCATCGATGTGTCCAATTTCGAGCGTGTTAGGCCGAGATTGTATGGATTGCCAAAATAGCACAAAGATGAAGTATCACCAGAACCGATTTTGGATATGTGCAACTCCTACCATATCATGCCCTGGCAAAATGGTTTTGTCAAATTGTTCGAACCCGATCGAGTTAACTAGGCAAAACGCAGTATCAAAAATACTTTTACTTTTGTGAACAAAATTCGTGACTTAAATTTGATCGATCGCTGGATATCAGCTCGTTATTCACCAATGTTCCCATTAGCGAAAAGATTGAATACCTGTGCAGTTATGTACAAAATAACAACATAGAGCTCGGCCTTCTTTTCGGCACGGTTATTGTTCAGTTCAGGTTCAATGATGATATCTATCAACAAAAGGATGACGTGGTCACGGGATTTCCACTGAGACCGCTTTAAGCGGACTTATTCATGGGTGGAACTTAAAAACACTCATTTACACTCATCCACTGAAGACTGTGTACGACACACACGGTATGCGGATGACATTTATTGTGTGATCAAAGCAACATCAAACACAACAGAGCCATGAAACAGATTCGACACTGCGCATCCTAATATGACATTTACTTGGAAATGGAGTGTAACGACAGATTGTCATTGATAGATGTCTGTATCACCGGAGTTCTTCAAGGAACTGTGCTATCCGCTTACTTATTTCCGACTTATATTTGTGATATTCCCCGTGTTGATATTGAAATATGCAGATGATGCTGTGCTGTGCCAAATTATTTATTGTTACTCCGATCGAAGTTCCTTCACCGATAATCTTGATCAAATTCAGTCATTCTCCTCCTCATTGGGGCTACCCTTGAACCCCAGTAAATGTGTCGAGTGCTTACAAAGTTTTGCTCGCTTCCCATATCCGACAGAATTATAACAGTCCTTTATTTCGGGTAGGCTCTGTCAAATATCTTGGTGTAAATATAAAAAGCAATCTTTTTTGGCCAACCCACATCTACAACTGCGTTGGTAAACTGCGGCGCCTATCATCCCAAATTCCAAAACTCAGGTAATTTTGGGCATCGCAGTCAGTTATTTCTACCTTGTGTATTAGTATGTTTTCCCCATCTTACTCTACTGTTCCCCAGTCATTTTTCCTGGTTTACTTAAACAGGGATTTAAGGTCTTACTCCGCAGTCTAACCATTAATAGTCGTGTCTCTTCTATTCCTGTGAATGAGTTAGCTGTAAAGCTCTCAGATTATCATATAATTTAATGTGTGAAATTCGCGGAGAGGATTCTCACAGATCTTCATTACCAATTTTAGTCATAACTGACACCTTGCCGTTCCCATTATTCAACACTCTCTTAATTCAACGAAATTTCATCTCGAATAAAAGCTTACCGAAATTCACCTCTACCATATTTTACTCGTCTACTCACAAACAAATAGAGGACAATAAGTGAACTTTGTCTTAACCTTTGTCAATGAAATGTATGTAAACTTTGTCTATCCGTCGAATATTTTCATTGTGATGGTTTGTGTGAATGCTATTTTAACTGAACTGTGAGCTTCAGTGCTTGCAAAAATTTATATACAATACACAAATTGAAAGATTTGGGGATAATATTTACGTCATCACATGAGTAGTATCGTAACATCGGAAAGATTGAATGTTTTGTGATTTTAGATAAGACGTTTTCCAGGTAATCGAAGAGTCGTTCGATTGAACAGTGTTGGATTCAACAACAGCGCAACCACAGAATCCTGACAGATTTCAATGCCAACTATTCATCTTAACAAAAACCAAGTCACACTACAGGTCTAATCGAAACTGAAGCAACACGTTCCTGTGAAACACTTGTGTGTTCGTATAGGCAACAGCATTTATACTAGAGTAAATTTTTTTCCAAATAATAATGAACAATCCTCGATGAGTCTTTATAGTAATGATTTCCTTGATTCGTTTATACTCAGCAGATGGAATAACTCAAAATGTACAACATACTCCAATTTCATCAGTAGTGGTTAACCTACAGCATGACGAGTTAGGAGGTAAGTTAAGGGGATAGAACAGATTTTATTTACAACATATTAACATTGATAATAACTAGGATCTAAAGTTTATGTAAATTAAAATGACCCAACGGTTACATTAGAGACCGGGTGTATTTACTATCAACACACTTACGTCTGAATGCAACCAACAAAGTTCTGACGTAATCCGTTTATACTAACCAATTTCGCATATCGCATCAGGCCAGAAGAGCTGTGACTGAAGTTCATTCCACCAAGCCACATGTCTCTTCCGAACCACGTCACAGCCTTGTCTTGAGGCAGAACATGCAATTTTCGGTTCTCGTTTTCCAGATAACTTTCTGCCACCTCCTTCGATATTAGTTCCAAATTTCGGGGCTTCAGTTTTCCCGGCCCAATGTGGATCCAAGTGTCATCCGGATTCAAGCGAACTCGAACAATGGGCCACTCGGTTTCTGTGGGTGCATCATCTGTGAGCTGGACAATCTGATATGCCACTTCCAGTTGGATGTTCCCTGCTCCACTAACCGGCAGATCCATGGTATGGATGTAGGAATGCGTCAAACTTGTCTGGACAATTAGGTTCAGTGTTCGATTACGAAACTCCGCACCGAGCAGCCGCATCCGATCTGCTGCTACTCGGTCCGTTGCGAGTGGAACCGTGTCTAGCGAGGTCTGTCGAGCGAAAACAAATGCAGCCGGTTCGAGCAGAAAAAGCAGACCACCTTCGGTTTCCGTTGTTTTGCAATTCACGACAATATTGATCCAACCTTCTGTCACATGATCACCGGGCAAGTACTGTCTAAGGTCTTTTTGAACAGAACTGGACGGCAGACGTAATTTAATGTATGCATTTTGCAAATCACGCTGACGGAATGACACCCCGCCGTGAATCGGTCCACTTGATGTACTATCCAGTTGCGCAACAGTCTTCTGACATTGTTCATCAAATAGTACTGCTTCATCGGAACTAAGATCATTCGAAACGATACGAAATCCATGTTGCTCCGTTTTGGTGTACCTCAAAATATCCATGGTCAGTCCATCCGCACTGAATAACGCCTATAATGAATGGATACGACAATCAAACATCACATGCCGATTATTTGGTTTTATTCAGAGGTGCACACTTTAATATGAGTAGTATCGCAGGAGCAAAAACTGTTTTTTCACGTATTTTTCATGTATTTTTCATGTGTTGTGGAACGAAGAGAACTGGGCGAATGATATGCATGAGTTGAAAGCGAAAATGCTTTTAATTTATGCAAAAATAACAGAACATTATTAAAAATTGAAAGAGAAAGATCTACTTTGAATCAGTGATAAAAAAATAACGCTTGTCGATGTTGTTCTCTGAACCGTTTTACCGAATATCGCTGGACTTTAATCAAATCAAAGTGGTCGTTGTGTTTCCTTTACCTAAAAGGAGCCTTCAATTTAGTTGATCGCTAATCCTTTATGAGTTCGCACATTTCCAAAGGAATGCCGTAGAATTTTGTGAACATGCTGAGTTCGCTCTACTCACATACATCGGTTAGCGTAACGATCTACGGCGAGCTGAGTAGGTCGTTCGTAACTAGCAGTGGTGTTCGTAAAGGGTGTAACATTTCGTCATTCCTGTTCAATTACATCATAGACAAAATAGTGGAGAACATAATACGTGCTCACCAAGATGTTGGTATTGATTTGTAAGCTGTAGACAAGTTATGCAAACTAGAGTACGCTGACAACATCGTTTGTCTGCTCGAACGTATAGAGGATGCGATACGGAAAGTGCACTTGATAGACTAGCCAATTCTGGTGCTCTTTTGACACNCACGCGCTTTGTACTTTTAAAGTGTAAAGTGATGCTGCCAGTCTGGGTGTCACCGAATCCCGTTCTGAAACCAGATGGTCAGTACTTAGCTGACGTTGGTTGCTTCTCGTACTTTGGTAGCTGCGTGACCAACGACGGCAGCGCTTCAAAGGAGTTAACCGCCGGCATTTCCAAGGTTCCAGTAGCTTACACAGGACTCAAACACCGATGGCGATGACGTAACGTTTCACTGAAGTTGAATAGTTGTGCATACTGCACCACTGTACCATCAGTTCTGCTGTACGGTTGTGAGACCTTGAATTTGCTAGTAGAATACGTCCGTCGCCTAGTGGTTTTCGGCAATCGATGTTTACGTATTCTGGCTCAGGTTGGATGTAGTGAGCGAGTTAGAAACCCAGAAGAGAGTCGTCAGGTGTTTGGGAATGCATTGAACAAGAACTCGCTATAGCATCGAATTCAGTTCATTAGGCTTAGTTGAATAGAACATGTTTTGCTTATGTCCGATGGTCGCCTATCGCAGCGCGCCTTATTTACAGTAGCTGTTGCAGACTGAATAAAGCCAAGTATAGGCCAGCAGATCACGTGAAGACAAGACATGAAGAAATGCACAGAACGATTATGTAGAGTAGGTGCCGTTCATCTTTTAGGTTGGGGACCAAAATACTCCGTAACAGCATGATTGAAGACATTGGAGAAAATGGCAACAAACCGACGGCAGTGACGATCTTGCTATCGCTTCTCACCAGTCCAGAATGTTTTAAATAGTGTGTATGTAGAGCTGGACTGTACTTTCTGAGTGTTAATCACAGAGGTTCACTTTCTTTTCCCACGCCTAAGAATAAGCCCAGTCCCTGTCCTTTATGCGCTTTGTCAATTACCTTTTATATATTATGAGTTTGGCAGCGATCAGTGAAATTCACTTTACTATATTAAGCTATGCAGTGATGATGATGAGGACTAGAGGCATTCAATGGAAACCAAATTAAATTCCCTACGTTATTTACCTTCGAGTCTTTGAGAGCAGGTATCCTCAAGAACACCTCATTGTTTGGGCCCAGGATTTCTGAACTGCCCCCACCCGCTTACTTTTATTGTGTGGATCAATGATGATGAAATGTCAAAAGATAAACAACTAGATCATATTCATTTCAATTAGGCAAACTGTATCATGTGATACGGGTCATGGTAGAGCTGATATTTCCTATTTTTGATTTAAGTATAGACCAAACTGACCGGAAGCAATAAACAGATGAGTAAATTCATTATAAAGACAAGAGCTTGCCTGAACCGCGCCCCATAATCGAAACGAATAGGGTGTGAAACCCTCTTTTTTTCACGTTTGAATCTACTTGCAATCGATCCGTTCAATATGTACTCATGTATTACCCGTTCATTATTATTATTATTACTTTTTACCCGAACCGCATTTCAACTCGTCCAGTACAATGCAGCGTAGATGAACATTTGCACAATAATTCGGTCAGGCCTGGGGAATGTAGTCTCTAGCAAACAGAGTTGAGGAGAAACCGCATTCATGATCCAACAGTTGCATAAATGTATAGCGTGGTATAGCGTTTTCAAAATTGCAGCTTCTTAAATGTGAATTTGGCGTCCTCGAACTAACAGTTACACTACTGGTTCACTACATGTGTGCCGAACGCAGGTTTGTTATATGTGAAGAAAATTAAGCGAGAAATACAACAGGTATTGGCTCATATTCCTTTGGGACCCTTATATTCAATTTGTTAGAACAGAGAGAAGGTAAATACTGCGAGATGTTAACAGTTCTGTGGTACGTTTGTCTGGTGAAGATTCTGTTCCATCGTGCCAGGAATATTTGCTCTCCCGACACTCTTCAAGAAGAAGAGAGCTTTCTGCGAAGAACGCTGCTGGATAATGGTTATCGAGAGAAATTTATCGACCTGTATAGCAGACGAAGGTCACCGGTTGATTCCTTCTACGAAGTACCGAAGAAAAGCATCTTCCCCAGACTCACCTTCAAGGGTGATCATATAATGAACGACATGGGTTAAAAGCTAAAGGTGACATTATGTCGAACGTTTCCTGTCGCTCAGTTTTGATTGATACTGTATATCCAAGGGATTCATTTGGACAATCGAAAATAGAACCAGCCACAAATTCTGCTTCACATGTCGTCTGCCTACTTTTGCGGGGACATTTACATTGGCAAAACGAATGAGCTCCTGTCACAATGGATGTCTGAACACATTCCCAAATGATTGACACAATCAATGACGCAACACAATCTTAGAGATCAATCTGATAAGAGAAGTCCAGAATCACCAATTGCAAAACATCTCATGACAACTGGACACATCGTTGACCCACATTTCTCGTTCAATCCGTTATTACATAACACAATCCCAGGATCTTGGATTTTAGAGCAAAAGGGTAGCGCAAACGTTTCTGACACAATCAGTCAGACCGTCGTGGTACTCCTACCCTCTACTCAAATTCTTGTCCGTTGAACCAGTGTATTTATCGAAACCTGCATGTATAAACATCAGATTAGTTTACGTTGTAACGACTGAGGAGAGTAAAATAAATGGTAACATCTCGCAGTATTTGCTAACCGTATCAAATGTTTTCCTGGAATTTTTCTAAATAAAGAACACAGATGTCCATAGCGGATATCTGGACAGTTATCGAAGGTTTGCTGCAGCAGTTCGGTCAGTTCTGCTTTGTGCGCAAAGTTTTGGCCATTAAGAAAACAGGATAAAGATAGACTGTCGGTGTTTGAACACCGCGGTCTATGCAGCATTGCACGAATCTGTTGGGGCATCGGGACGAGCAATGCTGAGGTTAAGTGAAGAGTTTTGGGTAACCGCGGTCGCTCACTGTAGCAAATGGTCGGCCTCCATAGATTATGTTGGTTGGGGCATGTGTTGCGCATGTCACCGAGAGGTTGCCACAGAGAGAACCAAAATAGGGGCGCACGACAGTGGATAGTTAATGGTTGTACAAACCGAACTGAACTGAAGTGATCGAATCACTACAAACATACCTGTCTGTAGTCAGGTAAATAGTTTTTTTTTCATTTTCAGGGAAAGTTTCGTCTTTGGTCTGTTACACGTAAACAACGTGATCAACATACACAAATTGACAAAGGACCTAATTTTACCGAACCCAGAAACTTACCTGAAATTTCGATAACAATAGTGATGAAGAAAAACCTGACCATGGGAGAATTCGTCGTGTATAGGGAGTACATCAGTGCCAAATCGTGTAAATGGTAAATAAAAAGCGGTCTGACCAGCTGCCCATCATTGGCCGAGTGGGTAGTAGGCTCGCGTTCAACCTGAGAGGTTCGAGATTTGATCCACAGTCCGGTCGATGGATTCGCACGGCTGATGAGACTCAACCAGGTCGAAACAGCTATCCAGTGATTCCTAGCTCTTCAGTTCACGCCTCGGTTATACGACGAATTCATCATATAAAACCTTATCAGTTTCTTAGCATTTGAAAAAGCTACTAATAGTGTCAGCATTCCTAGTACTAAACATAGTGAATGACTACTATACAAAACTGACTTCTATTGGCATAAACATATGCGTGATCAGGACACGATGGTGTTAGGCGCAGATGAACGTGGCTGCTTCAAAGCTAAGGTTTTACTTTTAATTCAGAATAAAATATCAGTTACAGGAACAGGTTTGCAAATATGATTTGATTAAGTCACTTTTTCATCGTCACATTACCTACCTGAAACATTTAAATCGGAATTCAAAACGAAAACGGAATCGATGAATGGTGCAAGAAAATAATTTTCAAATGTATGATGCTTATCTCCAGTGTGGCGAAACATTCAACGGAAGCCGCATTCACCTTAATCATACGACCTTTGAACGTGTCCCAGTGCGCCCTCGGACTGACATCGTAACCGAGGCCGACAACATTCACCGATCCGCCCAGCGTAATGGTGTGCGTTCGTAAGAGGCTCGTCATCTGTTGCTCACCCGCCAGACGTCGATAGACCAGAAGTTCACCGTCCACCGTCAGTCGCAACTGTTCGTGTGTGTGTGTGTGTGTGTGTGTATACAGGACAACAGACAATGGAAACCAGGAAAATTTGAGTTAGTGAAACAATTCCCGTTCAACGGGTAATGAAAACGTAGACAACCCGAAGAATTGTGGTTTGAGTCTTGACAGGGACTCAAAAAAACAATGCACTGCCGACGACGAATTCCTGACAGTACGAAACAGTTGTCCAGTGCTCTTTGTCGGTTATCACAAACATTTTCATATTTTTTAATGCATTTACCTAATGGGGAATTCACGATCTCCCAAGGAGTGAAATCCACACCCAAGATCATCTACAGAGTCTTGTTCGTGAGAAAAACCGAATGGGTTAATCCAAACATTCACAGACTAAATAGCTGTCTCCAACTTCTGCTTTATTCGGAACAACTGTTGAAGTAATTTGTATTATGTTACATCCTCGAATGACCGTGCTATGCTGTGAGCAGCCAATCTGCTTGAGCGTTAGGCTTTTCGGCTAAGCTAACGTATAATGCACAACATGGACTCCGTCAAAAGAGATCATGTACTACCAATCTGCTCCTGGCCCGCGATGAATGGACAAAGGCAGTAGACATAGGCGATCCAGTGGATGTGGTTTACCTGGACTTCTCCAAAGTGTTCGATCGGGTGAACCACGAAATACTGCTCCGTAAGCTATACAATTTTGGTATCAGAGGTCTTGATTGGATTGCTTCGTTTCTCCAACAACGGACTATGTCGGTTCGAGTCTAATTCGCTGTCCGCCCCTATCGCCGTTTCTCGCGGAATCCCCCGGGGTTCTGTGTTTGGTCCACGACTTTTTCTCTTGTTCATAAACGACCTACCGAATGTCTTAGGACCAAAAACATTATTTTTTGAAGACAACGTCAAAATCTGGAAGACAGTGACAGAATTTGGAGGTTCGCTGGAACTCCAAAAAACACTGAATGCAGCTCACAAATGGTCTGTTGAGAACGGCATCCAATTT